ATACATACAGTGAGGTGTGAATGTCATACATACAGTGAGGTGTGACTGATATACATACAGTGAGGTGTAACTGTTATACATACAATGAGGTGTGAATGTTATATATACAGAGATGTGTGACTGTTTTACATACAGTGAAGTGTAACTGTTATACATACAGTGAAGTGTAACTGTTATACATACAATGAGGTGTAACTGTTATTCATACAATGAGGTGTGCCTGTTATACAATACAATGAGGTGTGAATGATATACATACAGTGAGGTGTGACTGTTATACATACAATGAAGTGTGACTGTTATAATACAATACACATGCAATGTGATGTGACCTTTATGCATCCAATGAAGAGTGAATTATATTGACCCTTGTCATATTCCAATTTAGGAAATATTAACACATGTCAAAAAGTGGTACATGATAAATGCATTCCATATGAATATTCATCAATAAAATGTTATATCAAGCTTTTTAATTGCTTTCATTGTTATCTCTTTCAGAAATCCTTGCTAGTTACTTGTCCTAAAGGGTGATGCCATGATAAGATAGCATTTTAAAATGGGGTAAAATAGACTACTGAACAAAATTATGAACTAAATGATACTATCAACCGTCAATGATATTTTTTCACTATATGAAAAAAAATAGCATTACATTATATGAAAAATAAAATTCCTTAATTCAAGCCACATTGATACTAATGTCAGCAATAAAATAAAGTTTCTATTCATACATATAACAGTAATACACATTTAATACAGCACTAAAAGTTAATTATTAAATATAAACAGTTAACCACTTAATGAAGCTGAAGTTTCTAGCACAAATCACATTCTCTATATATATCACTTAAGTCTCTAGCACAAAACATTCTATCCAAGATGCAGACGCTGTGATGCTGAATCGGCGTATATTCACACAAATCTGAAAATACAAGTTTAACTAATATCTATGTATCAAAGCACACAATAACAGATAATAATATCAAACTGAAGTCACACAAGTTAAAATCTGAAAATAAGAACAAGTTTTATATGACAATAATTATAAGAGAATTCACACAAATTTCACTGAGTAAAGAAGTTGATGTTTCCAAGTACAGATCGAAATATGATTAATCTCCAAAATGTGCTGCTGTTTTATACATTCCCCATTTAACAGCTTGGGATCGGAACTCTAAATATTCATTATTATTTTGCAATTATTAGCAGTTATTGATTATCTGATTAGTTATTTTTGAGACGTGAACGGACAGGTTCTCCCCCTGCAATATTCTTAAAAGAGGTGTGTATATTTATCATGTGCTAAATTCCTTGGATTGCATAAAGAATAAAATCGTTTCAAGTATTATGACGGAGTAAAAAAAACACGGGTTGCTGCTCATTTTTAGCATAAATTATTGTACCAGTGCATTTTTTTTTGTCAATTCCAATCGTATATTTACATATTGTACCATGTAACGATTATCGGCAGCCAATAAAGCATAATACAGTTTAATTGTCATGAAAAGTGTTATCAAATGAAAACTGTATATATAAAAGTACTTCTTTGCATTGAATGACAGTTTCTTGGGCCGTTTTCCCACAAGTGTCGCGTTTTGGGTACTGTCCCGATTTAGGTATAGTGACGGTAGTTATGCAATTCTTAAAAATGATACCGGCTGCCTCATATAGTGGCAAATATATTGATATTCTGAGGTTAATGTACCAGATTCCTGTTTAAAATTTCCGACATGGAATCGTGTTATCGTCAGACTGGCGGGTCCACTTTACCATTGGATTCTATGTTAATTTACTTTTTTTTCAATATTTTTTGTGACATTGTTTGACATCTAATTCTGATCAAACTTGACATCCTGCATGCTTGAGATTTATCTGGCAGTGTTTCCTCTGGTAATATATTTATATTATTATCCGTGACTCGTATCACTTTTCATCCCAGCATAAAAGTCCCAACATTGACATTATTCCCATAGACACAATGTGCCATGATGTAGAATATATTTTTACCGTTATGGTCAGAATTCTATCAAATGGAATTATATGAATAAAAGAAAAGCGCTAGATAATTATGCAGTTTTGCACCGAATTTCATTTATTTTTTAAGAAAAAGTAAATTAACATAGAATTCAATGGAAAAATGATGTCACATATGAAACGTACGGCACTGCATGTATGTCTTTGGATCTCTTAATTGTCTTCTAATAATTGTTTACTCGTTTTTTTTTCTGGCCCTAATGTAACTAGTCGCTAAACTTCTATGCAATTACGTGGTATGTAGCTATAGGTATATGTATTGTGATATTAGGCGTAAGGCTTTCGGACAAGTGTATCTTAGGTCGGGACTGGCGGGTCTGGTATGTGTATTAGCCGACATCACGCAGATCTGATACACAGCTCCAATAAACACGCAATCAAGGGAAACAACCCGTATTACCAATCACCTCATTTCTGAGAATCAATCAATAGTATGCATTGTTTACCAATGTTCCATACAGATGTACACATATAATGAAGCCTCTGACACATTGCATCATTAGACTTGTTTAGACATGTGGACCGTGGTCTATTTATAGACCAAAACATTGCTTATGTAATACGGGAATTTCCGCCAAGTTAAGAGCAGTTTGTTTTGGGCGCCATATTGAAAAGTTGATAGTGCGAAGAAAAGTGATAAACTGGTTCAAAGAAGTAAGTTTGATCATGTTTAGAGCTGCGATTTATGATTATGTATATTGAACGTGATGGGGATGATAAGTAAGACTTTTCAAATGAGTTAAATCTTTGATGTTAAGAGGTGCAAAATTTGTCAAAGTGATCGAAAGATTGAACGTGTCACGTTTGTAACTCGCCTTTGTTAAGAGTTTTGCACAGGTTTAATCAATGATAAGAAAACTATTTGAGAATAGACCTATAACCCAACAAAACTTTCATCTATATTTTTCATTATCTATTTTCACTTTATTCCGTAATGACTTGGTGTCGATGAGCCGTAAACAGGTAATTTCTATTTATAAATCAATAATAAACGAATCAAAATAATAAAAAAATAGTTCACTGAGTACCCTACTGTGCTTGTAATGGCGATTTAGGCCTCTTTTACTTAGTATAACTATATATCGCAGGTGTGGACCACACATCAGAGATGTAAAACTATATATCATATAGGTGTATCATACAACAGGGGTATGAACTGTGTCACATGTGTGAACCCTTAAATCACTAATGTAAGCCCATATATCACATGTTTGAACCATTAAGTCGCATGTGTGAGCCTTACTGTTAGCTGTTTATCACACTCACAGCTACTCTGGTGTCACTCACTCTTTATATTACAGGAGGTGTGAATATGTATTATATATCATATTNACATGTTTGAACCCTTAAATCACTAATGTAAGCCCATATATCACATGTTTGAACCCTTAAATCACTAATGTAAGCCCATATATCACATGTTTGAACCATTAAGTCGCATGTGTGAGCCTTACTGTTAGCTGTTTATCACACTCACAGCTACTCTGGTGTCACTCACTCTTTATATTACAGGAGGTGTGAACATGTATTACATACCATATGACACCTGTGATAATCACAGGTGTGAACATGTAATCTTTATCATATGACACCTGTGATTATCACAGGTGTGATAAGCCACGATCACAAGCAGTAGGTTACGATCTAGAACATGTTTATATATATATTTATATAGATGTGATATCTTTATTTTTCTGATTCATATATTTCTGTGTAAATAAAGAATCCCATGGCATTCATTGCTAATTCAAGAATCACATGGCATTCATTTCTCTTAATTTAGGATCTATACATAATATCATGAAAACATCTGAATGAAACACTAGTATATATCCTCTGGAAATGGTACAAGAAATTTCACACTAGGGAATTTACGAATAGCTGGATTAGCTGAATCAGTTCATGGGGAACTATATAGGAATCCCCGGTCAGGGAGCATAACCTGACATATATACAGGAAACCAATATCGATAAAACACACAGTAGGGTACATGGATCGACTTTCAGCATACATTGTATGTATAAAAGTGCATGGAGAGACTGAAAGAGTAATATGGGATGTGAATATGAGAAATTGCTTTATATGTCTATCTCAGCTTACATTTTGATATAATGTTTTCAAGCATGAATACCGACATGGAAGGTGATGGTGGTCAGCTGAATGAAGACGGTCCCGATGGATCTGTGCTCCGGCAAAGAAGGAGACACAGATCATTTACTGAGAAACGGCGAAACTCCATGAATCTAACACCTTTAGTTATGCCAGGAAATGAGTCCGGCTCTTTCAGTGGATTCAGTTTCCCGTCACGTTTTGGCAGAAAGGAAGACATTAAAGGGGAGAGCAAGGAATTGTTTGAACATTTTGTTTGTGATGAGATAAGCAGGGAACACCTGTATGTACCTGATGACTGGGCCTCGTCAACATTGTCAGGATGCTCAGGAATAAGGTGATTAGCGAGGAACAGGTCTTCAAAAATCTATTAAGTCTTATGGAGTTTGGTAATCTGTTAAGGTTTGTTTCTTTATAGCAACAAAACTGTGTATAAGCTTGTTTCAGATATTGATATATAAATGATAGTAAACCGTAGATTTCAATTATAAGTAAAACAAAGAGAAAGACAATTTGCACATGACTTGTGAAAACATGGAATGTTCCATTATTGTATTGTGTCCCGATTAATTAAAATAATGTTTTTCCACCACAGAATCATATAGAACTGACAAATTAAAACCCATGTCAAGTAAACGTCAAGTAAACACTTACTTTACTGTCATGACCATTGTGTTTTTCAAATCAGTACATTAGTTTCCCTCTTTGATTCCAAGACAGTTAATGGTATTACATGCTAACAAACATGTATTATCGAATAGTATTGTATTTTGATAAAGCAGTGAATGCTCTCAGACTATGAGAAATATTTGTGTCCAAGATTTTGAGGTGAACATAAAGGAAGGATCATCATCTTATTAAGGTTGACGTAGCATGTCTACAAAAGATTAGTCAACTAGCAATGTTAATTTTAGTATTCCTTTCCACTTCAGTACCCCACAGGGTTATAAAAATCCTACATGGGCAAAATATGGTCGAGAGCTGAGAGTAATGGCCGATGAATTTGCCCAAACCAAGGAACGGCAGCATATAAAAAAACGAGCTGGAGGTGTAAGTTTCTTTTGGTGTTAAAAGTTATAAAATTAGCTCACCTGAACATCTTCGCTAGCCAAGTGTTCGCTTCGTATACACTCCACTTATGTAATTGGAGTGTATACGAAGCGAACACTTGGCTAGCGAAGATGGGTCTGAAGGACTTAACCCAGTCTCCCTACGTTAGAAATGAAACTACATTTAGGCATGATATTTATGTAAATGGTATGAAAACAAAAGCTCAAATACAAGATTACAAGTGAGGTCAGAATACAAAGAAGAAGAAAAAGTGAATTTGTAATTGTAAATATATGTATGAGAAAGCTTAAAGTTGAACTTTTTCCCAGTATCTGGGTCTGATTATATCATTTAAAGTATAACCCCCAAGGATATGATGCATTTTCATACTCCTTGGAATATAGGATTAAATTAAAATTTGATTGGATCTCGTCAATCTATGTTGGGTGGCGCAGTGGATAGCACACTTACCTTTCACCAATACGACTGGAGTTTGATTCCCAGATCGGATGTGAAATGGTATGGGGTCACCTGCCTGACCACGTGGGTTTTCTCCTGGTTCTCCGGTTTCCTCCCACATTAAGATCCCCCGTGCGCTAACATCCAGGCCAACAAGAGTGATCAATATAAGTTGAAGTAACCTGTTTCATAATTGTTGTTAAAGAAATGAAGTTAAGGTGTAATCTATGCTTTTTAATTTTTCGTTTCTTTATTGTTCAGGTGAACATGAATTCAGCTACCTATGAAAGCTTCAGTGACATGTTATCGGAGCTATTTTTTAGCGAAAGTATTTCCACAGCTATAACGAGGGAGAGACTTGTTGTCCTCTTCTTCTTCTGTTCTGATATTGTAATCCGCTCTTTGAAAGCTAAAGCCACACACTTGTTTAAAAAGTTCATCGAGTGGTCGACACAGTTCATAACTAGTAAAGTGGCTGAGTGGATAGAGAGGCTCGGAGGCTGGGTAAGAATTCAATTTTCAAGATAAATTACTGAATGAAATAATAATTTATAAATTGCACCAGGGCACTGTGAACAATGGAACTTTTAATTTGTACGTTCACATCAACATTAGTTCTATTTTCAGTGGACATACAATACCAAACCGGTTGTACCAGTATATATGTGTTTATATGTTATGCAGAGGGTAAACAAAGATACGTCTAATTGAAAAGTTGCCTAGTTTTTAGCTCACCTGGCCCAAAGGGCCAAGTAAGCTTTATATGGCATGGTGCGGCATCCATCGTCCGTCCGGCGTCAATTTCTTTCTTTAAACAGCTTCTTCTAAATAACCAAGAGACCCAGGCTGATGATATTTGGCCAGTAGCATGGTGGGATGAAGGGCTACCAAGTTTGTTCAAATGAATGACCTTGAACCATTTTCAAGGTCACATGGGTCAAATGTCTTAAAATCTTCAAACAACTTCTTCTCAATAACCAAAGGCCCAGGGTACTGAAATTGGGCCTGAAGCATGCTTGGATAAAGGACTACCAAATTTGTTCAAATGAATGACCTTGACCCACTTAGGTCACAGGGGTCAAATATGTTAAAATCTTCAAACGACTTCTTCTCAATAACCAAAAGGCCCAGAGTACTGATATTGGGCCTGGAGCATGCTGGGATGAATGGCTACCAATTTTGTTCAAATGAATGACCTTGACCAACTTTCAAGTCCACAGGGGTCAAATGTCTTAAAACTTCTTCTTATAACCAAAAGGCCCAGGGTACTGAAATTGGGCCTGTAGCATGCTTGGATAAAAGGCTACCAAGTTTGTTCAAATGAATTACCTTGACCCACTTTCAAGGTCACAGGAGTCAAATGTCGTAAAATCTTCAAACCACATCTCCTCAATAACCAAAAGGCCCAGGGTACTGAAATTGGGCCTGTAGCATGCTGGGATGAAGGACTACCAATTTTGTTCAAATGAATGACCCTGACCCACTTTCAACCTAATGACCTTGTTCGACATTCAAGGTCACAGGCGTCCTATGTTTAAATCTTTTGATAGGTTTTTACGAATCAAACACTGATATTCTGCCTGTAGCTGTATTTAAGTCCACTTTTAAGATTACCAGTGTGAGATTAATACCAGGTGAGCGATGCAGGCCCATTGGGCCTCTTGTTGTGTTAACCTGGAGAAAATAATAAAATAAGTCCTTTGATACTACTTGGTACTGTTTTGATGATCACAATGATTTAAAGTTCAATGATTCCATTTTACTCTTTGTCAGTTTTTCAAGTAAATTGTTTTGTATGACAACTCCAGATTGAGGCAAAGTCCTGTGATCTGTTAACTGTTAAGTACTGTTTTAAAGAGCTTTTTATTTGGTTTATTTCAGGGTACTGTTATGAGGACATCTGGACGTCTCTTCACTAACATTTTAATGATCAGTGCTTGTGTCTTTGTCGCGTTTGCGATAGGAAGGGTTATCATCCGCAGGAACTCTGGATAGGACGTACAGACCTGTTAATCACACAGGTCTTACAGTATGCATGCTACAGACTGACCGGTGAATACTAAATACACTGTCCACCACTGCACACATGGCGTCAGGATGGTCAACATTGTGAGCAGTACTAAGAGGAATGAAGAATGTTTATGTATGGTACTTTCACTGGGTTTCCCATAACAAATGAATGACATGCATGTTAAAAATAAGTCATGATCAAGTCCTGAACAGATTTAGCACTATCAACCAACAACAAAAATGAAATTATTTTTGAAGAAAACAAATTTATGGTACCAGATTTTTGATTAAACATTGTGGCTGATACAAGCTAGTTTAAGTATTGAGGTGTTCAGCTCTCAGGTATTTCACCAACATACTACAATGTAGGATCAGCTGGTAGCGGTTGATTTCCATAAGAACTTTTTTTCCAACACTTTAAAATTTAAAGCACAAAGTGCACAATAATTTTTGAAGGCAATTTTATTCAACATTATCATGTAAGTAATAAATTTGTAACGCTGCAAAAGCGCAAGAAAGAATCGAATGATATGTTATTGGTATACAGTGGAGTGGATGAAGTTTGGAAGGTACTTATCCTTCTACAGGCATTTGATCCTACCCTAGAATGCTCACAGAATATAAACTGTATAATTCCTACTTGTAATATATAATTAAAAACATGACAAAACAGTTCTGATATTAAATTTTTAATTGAAATGACTTTAACTGTATGACAAGTTTCAATGAATTATCAATTTCCAACTTTTTAATATTTCTGTTTGTGTGTCAAAAAAGGTATCCTGATTGTAAATTCTATATTTTTCACTTCAGAAACAATTAAAAAATCTTTCCGTTGAGAGTATTTTTATAAGAAGAGTTAATCATAAATTATTTTTGTCATCAAAAGCTGTATATATTGAACAAATTGACCTAAATTTTAACATGAACACTAAATCCAGATAGGTGATATATTCTTGATAGCTTTGAAAGAAAAGACTTTGCTTCACCTGTCCTGTATTTAACTTCTGTGCTAATTTGTTTTCTGTAAATAATGTTGTCGAGAGGGGCCAAACAATATTTTAATTGATGGTATAAATGTTACATGAATTGATGTGTTGATGTCCTGTCTATGTTTGTAAGTTTAGGTGGGCTTTTACAGATTTATACTTTAGGAGTATGAAGGTGTTTTACCAAACCTTGTGAATGGCTGTATAGTACAGCATAACAACCTGCCTAAACTGAATCTTGTATAATACAGCAACCTGTATGTATAATACCTTCACACGAAGCCTTTCCCTATACATTTGTATGAGACTGGAACTTGTATGAATTTAGTTTGAAATAGTTCTGATAAAGTGTTTTGTTAAGAAAGGTTTCATTTTACTATTGGTTAGACTTGGGTTCACAGTCTAGTTTTTTGGGTGACTATCTCACAATAGTTAGTAAACATAGGATTAGGGAACTTCTCAGTTACGATTAGCTCATGGTTTTGTGACAATTTGCATGTACAGTGTATTTGAAATAAATGTAGGCTGTTTCACCAAAAAGTGTTAAAGCTCAAAAGTTTGTGTGGAAATATCTCTGATATCAGCTTAGTAGTGAAGAGTTTAACAATGATATAGCCTGTTACATGGTGTGAAGCTCCTAAACATAAAAAAGTGCTAGAAAACTATGTGTATTTGTATACATGTACATTATGTATCTACTGTTGTACAAGTCCCTTATTAATCCAGTATACGCAACCTTGCCATTTTAGACACTATGGCTTCCCAAACAGTTTGAAATAATATATTCCCAATATCTATTAGGGAAAAACCTATTTTGTTTGTCTCCTGACACTAACAGTAAACCTAGCTAATCTGAAGTGTCCGGAGTGTCACTTTTCTGCAGATATCATTGTCAAGATACAAAACATTAAATTGATCATTTGCTTAAATTATAGTTGACGAATCTCTGATTTCATGTTATCTATACATGTATTTGAAAAATACATACAAAATATAGGAAGTGATTGGGAAAATATTTATGTGATAACTAGAATGTGGTCATTTTGTCCGTTGAACCGGACATGACAATCTAGTCTGTTTAAAGATATCACCATGCAATGGTAAAATAGTACAACACTGTATATTTTGCATATTTTTTCTTTTACTTAATGCTATGAATTATGTTATAGTTGGTTAAAATTTAATTTGTGTACTTTACTCTTAGTTTATTTTTGTCATGTTAGTCACTTAAGAAGTGATATTGTATGCAATTTATACATAAATCTGATTTAATTTGATTTTTAGCTCACCTGGTCCGAAGGGCCAAGTGAGCTTATGCCGTGGCGCGGCATCCGTCGTCCGGCGGCCCGCGTCAATATTTTGCTTTAAACAACTTCCTTCTCAATAACCAAAATGCCCAGGGTGATGATATTTGGCCAGTAGCATGCTGGGATGAAGGGCTACAAAATTTGTTCATATGAATGACCTTCACCCATATTCAAGGTCACAGGGGTCAAATATGTTAAAAACTTAAAACAACTTCTTCTGAATAACCAGAATGCCCAGGGTGATGATATTTGGCCAGTAGCATGCTTAGATGAAGGGTTACAAAGTTTGTTCAAATGAATGACCTTCACCCATATTTAAGGTAACAGGGGTCATATATGTTATTTTTTTTTTAAATAATTTCTTCTGAATAACCAAAATGCCCAGGGAGATGATATTTGACCAGTAGCATGCTGAGATGAAGGGCTGCAAAGTTTGTTTAAATTAATGACCTTCACCCATATTCAAAGTCACAGGGGTCATATATGTTAAAAATCTTTAAACAACTTGTTCTGAATAACCAAAAGGCTCAGAATGTTGATATCTAGTCAAGTAGCATGCTGGGATCAAGGACTACCATGTTTGTTAAAGTGAATGACTTTGACTTATATTCAAGGTCACAGGGGTCAAATTTGTTTAAAATCTTTAACGACCTCTTCTGAATAACCATGGGTCCCAGAATGTTGATATTTTGCAAGTTGCATCCTGAGATGAATGGCTATAAAATTTGTTCAACAAAATGACCTTGTTCGACTTTCAATCACAGGGGTGAAATGTTTTAAAAACTTTTAACAGGTTCTTTTGAATGAATTTTAATTTTAAATACTGATATTTTGCCTGTAGCTTTATTTTAGATCACTTTTAAGGCTACAACTGTGAGATTTATACCAGGTGAGCGATGCAAGCCCATTGGGCCTCTTGTTAGAACTTTATCCTATGCTTAGTTTTGATAATTTTCTTGTGAAAGTTGTTTTGAGAGATTTTGTATGTATGTACACCTTTTCACAAGAGGCCAACCTAATAGAGGGCCACAGCTGTCTTATTGGAGCAATTTTAAGTGTCCATGTTTTTGCCACTAAAATTTAATAAGACTTGTCAAAAGAAAATTCAATTGGACCTATCAAAAGGACCACCTGCATGTGCACATGCCATTAAAGACCGCATGTCATTCATAAGGATGTTAGAGAGAAGGTGATAAGATTTATTATGTCTCCCCTTCAAATCGCAACTTGTCCGGGCCATAACTTTTAAACCGTCAAAGATATCTTGATAAATCTTTAGGTATGCATGCATCACCCACAGAAGGTTTTGTGCCCCACTATATACAGAGTAATGGCCCTTTGTTTATTTTTAATACCGAAGTTTGTCCATGACATAACTAATCAACCATTTAAGATATCTTAATCAAACTTGTAGAATACCTGCATCACCCACAAAAGGTGTGCAGTGCACTGGAATTAGGTCTTGTGCGTCACTATATACAGAGTTATCTCCCTTTGTTTATTTTAATACGGAAGTTTGTCCGGAGCATAAGTTCCATGTTATTTCACCTACGTTGACCAAATTTGCCATAGTTTTAATGTATCTTGGGAAGTAGGAGTGTCGTATTCTAAATACAGGTCTCGTACCCCACTATATAAAGAGTTATGGCCTTTTGTTAATTTTTTATACCAAAGTTTGTCTATTGGCTAATAAGGGGAGACATATGTTTTTGTTCACAAAAACAAAATTCTAGTTATCATACAGCAGTTTGTTTTTGTATTAGGTTAATACACATATTCCCTTGATATGGACAATCATTTGAGGTGGAAAGGTAGTGAGCGAAAGATACAACTAAAAGTAATTGTACCTATATCATTGATCTCAAAATAGTGTATAGTACAACTTAATGTAAAGGTTATAATTGTAACGAGAAATTTAAGTTGGTTTGCAGCCAAAGAATGATAGTCAGACATTGTGTTCATTCCATATTAGGTACTTTACAGTTAATTCTAATTTGAGCATTGTTTCTATTAACCTTATCCACATGATTTGATATTCAGTAATATATATAGATGTTTAGGATGTAAGCTTTATATAATTACTGATTATTAAGAATATACAATTTTTCTGGCGAGAAGACTTAATCATCAACACAACATTGCTTCAAACGTTTGACAAACATTTTATTGTATTTATTTTTGTCTCAAAAGAATACATCCTTAACTCCTTGCCCAGTGCAAGAATATATATATATACATAGCCCCAGTACAAACCTAAATGAAGTTCCATGAAAATTGATATGTGAGTGAAAAGTGTTTCTTGAGTAAAATTTTCTTAACTTCAAGATTTTTCCTTTAACTTAATGTTTTCCTAAGCAAAGTTAAGAAACTTGAACATTTGTGAAACTACAGCTTAGCCACTTTGTATTGAATTATAACAATCCACCAATATCAACATTATTTCCCTGACAAACATGTATCAACACTATCTCTAGGGCACTGTTTTAGAATTAAATTCTTTCTAAAGAATTTGTTTGGTAAAAAACTTATAAAAGACAATATTACAATTCCATGTTCCTTTGGTGGTTTAGTTTACCAAAAAAAACGGGCTTCAAAAGTCTCATCTATTGAGATTGTGTAGAAACAATGAGAGGTGTCGATAAAGTAGACAAGTCCAAAAGTGCATTCAGTTGAGTGTGGAAGGTGTTATTGTCAAAACGCACTTAAACAGGGCTAATTGTTAAATCAGGTTTTAACGCCTCCTCTAAAATGATCTCATGAAAATCCATCAGTGTTTATTGCTCAATGTTTTATAGTCGATAGTCCTCGGGACAAAGTATAATTATCAGAGAAAACACTATGTAGAAGTTATTTATTTAGCAAGTTTAATTTTGGTTTTACCCAATGCAAGTGCTCAAGATTTTCCGTGATGTAATTGAAATGACATTTTCATTAACAACAAGAAAGTATGAAAATGTCCATTCTCATAAGCTACACATTTGTAGTTGTATTGGAGGTCCATCTATTAAATCCCTATCAACTTAATTTGGCTTAATTTATCAAAACTTGGCAGATGGATGTCCCACACCAGACAAAAAAAAGTGGTGTCAGGGCCAGAGAATACTTGATCTTGCTAGGCCATAATGAACAGTTTCCTATGTATTTATCTTTGACATGACATTCACCTTTGATCATGCTTTTAATATGTATGTAATCAGTTCCCATTATCTACAGTGTGACATATTTTCTTTTCATTTTAATATATACTACCTTACAACCTGTATGTGGGATTTGTATTAAAGTAAGTTTGCCTTAGAAACTTGTAATTAGTATTACATGTTTAACTCATTCACCCCTGAAGACACATTTGAACTCTTCCAGTTCAAAGGTTGGAATAGTTCATTGTAAAATTTCAGGGGTGAATGAGTTAATAAATGTATACACTCATGCATACTTATGGACGTTATCATCATTTATAACCAAATTCTAAAACCGTTCCTTAGATATTGTCGTGGTTCATGAGTGTAGAAAGATGACTGATGGATGTAATGGTGATGGTGACATACAGGCTGACATGTATGCTCACATCTATTTGACGTGTCTTATCCTGGAAAATCAGTGATTTATGCTTCACGTTAATTTAAGGTTTTTATCATAAACAGATATGTGGAAATCAGTTATGCAATTTGATC